TGAAAATTTCGTTTGATGATGAGGGATCGGAGATCATAGAAAAGAAGACCAAAACAGTGCTTCTAAAGTTCAAGAGAAAAGGCAACATGTATCCACTGAATCTGAATCCTATCAAAGGAAATCCAACCATATGCCTTCTTAATAAAGCATCTCCGGACGACAGTTGGCTTTGGCACTGAAGGCTTTGGCACTTAAACTTCAAGGATATTAACAAAATCGTGCTAGGGGGTCATGTTTGAGGCTTGCTGATTCTAAAGTTTGAGAAAGATCATCTCTGTGCAACTTGCGAACTTGGAAAGCAGAGTATGAAGAGTCATTCAACAATTATAAACACCAAAGCGATCGAGCCACTTGAGCTTTTACATATAGATCTCTGTGGTCTATATGCCATTAAGAGCATTGGTGGTAATAAGTACATTTTAGTTATTATTGATGATTTTCCAGATTTATATGGGTTTATTTTCTTAAACTAAAATCTGAAGCTACTTCCAAGCTTAAAGACTTCATCAGGCTGATTGAGCTTCAACTGCGAAAGCCAGTTCGGAACGTTCAAAACGATCATGGTTCGGAGTTCAAAAACCACGTGTTTGAAGATTTCCTAACTGAAACGGGGAGTTGCTCACAACTTCTCTTTACACTCCTCAATAGAAGGGAGTTGTTGAAAGACGAAACTGTTCTCTATGCAAAGTTGCGAGGACCATGCTATCATTTGGGAACTTACCTCTTTACTTCTAGATAGAAGCTATCGGCACAACCTATTTTTACCAAAATCGATCTCTACTAAACAAAATATTTTGCATCACCCCTTATGAAGTTCTTAGTAAAAGAAAATATAATTTTAGGTTCTTTCATGTCTTCAGTTCCAGGTGTTTTGTTTTTCAATACAAAGGAGCAAAGGAAAATGTTCGATGTAAAAGTAGATGAAGGAATCTTCATAGGGTACTCTCAGACTTCGAAGGCATATAGGGTTCTCAACAAAAATCCAAAAAGATAGAAGAAACCTACTATGTCACCTTTGATGACACATGTCTAAAGAAGTTCCAGACATCGAATTGTTAGTTTGAGGAGATATTTCCAGCGAAGAATCCTATAACCATTCCTCTCTTAACCTTTATGATGAACTCCTAAACTTTTTTGATGAGCCAAAGAAGGTGATCACTTCAGAATCCAAAGCAGCTAACAACAAGGAAGATGAACCAAAGAAGATCATTGATGATGCTGTGAAGAATCTTGAAATCGAGCCACCCATTCCGAAAGACTCAGACATTCCATCTCAACCACAAGCTTCGAATGTTTCACTTCAGGGGGAGGACGTTGTTCGCATTTGTCACAACCCAGTGAAACACTCCAAGACTAAACATATTGAACTGAGGTACTATTTCATCTAAGATCACGTAGAAAATGGAAATGTTGAAATTCACTTTGTGCAATCTACTAATCGACTGGCTGATATCTTTACGAATGCCTTACCTTAACAAACCTTCAATAGAATAATTCAAGGCTTAGGAATTTTTGAAAATGAATCTGTTCTGAAACTACCTTCTTAGTTGGTAATAATTTGTTTCGAATGGGTCTGAATGCTCGGAGTGGTTCGGAGTCAACTATTCACGTTGCGAATTGGTCCGAACACTCGGAGTGATTCGGCGTCCGCTGTTCATTCAGAGGTTCGGAACTTCTTGTATCCTTTTTATATATTTTTATTAAGTCTTTGTACACTTGTGTTTTCCTTTTTATTTTTTGTTTTTAGTTCTTTTTCAGAAAGTCTCAAAAATCACAAAATATTTTCTTTATTTTAGATTTCATTTCATTTCGCGAAAATTTTAAAATATTAAAGATAACAGACAACTGAGTAGGATTGAAGGAACACATCATGATACTCTCAATTACGAATGATGGGGGCAAGTATTTAACTTTGAATCTTTGCACTAGTTAATTGCCCCCATAAGCATGATGTTGCATTTTGTCCGAAGCCTCTTAGACTCTATGTTTGAAGCCTTAATGAATCAATAATACCAATCATTTCTTCCTAATCATGCTAATATTCCAATAAGTCATTGAGCTACCTTACTCTTCTCATATTAAGTTAAGAGTTGACCGCTTGGTCATTTGCAATATAGAAGAGGTACGTTTATTTCTTCAGAACCATCTTTAACACTTCTCCATATCAAATTTGCTTTCACATTCATAACCCTTGAGAATCTCGGAAATTACCACTAAGGTTTGTGGTTACACAACTTCTGTGTTCATGATCTTAAATTTTTTTCACCACAAATTAAGTGAAACCCAAAATCCAAAACCACTTTTTGAATTAACGATGTACAATTGATATCTTCTAGTTTTTCAACATGGAATGGATGTGAATCTACCTTCATGGCTTGTATAATGAAATATCATTGTTTTATTTTTGCAAGATCAATGAAATCTTCTATTCCTAAGGCATTTCTTCCTATTAGATCCAGTTTTTATTTTTCTTGAGATTTAGATATTATCTAGCTACTCATAGTATTCCAAAGCATACTTGTTCTTATGTCTAGATTGGTCAGACAAGTACTTTTTCCGAACGTTCGGACGTATGTTAAGTTCTGGAGTTTGGTTGAAGATAAAGCCACCCTAAAAGCATAATGAAAAAGAAATATTTTACTGTTTCTCAACAAATAGATGATCTTAATGCGATGGAACACCACACAAACACTTACGAGTCTCTCTTGACTACGAAGGAAGAGATCGTTTCCCGAGATCCAACTGTATCATGTCTTTATTGACATCACTAGAATCCTTTAGATAACTTACTTTATTTCTTTATCTTTGGCACACTGTTGCACGAAGAACCTTGTGATTTTCAAAAAGTATTGTTCGTAGTTCTAATGATTACTTTTAGATTCGAAGAACAGGAAATGGAGAATTATTACGAATGGGTAGAACAGAAAAGACGGTCATTAAGGGATAAGAATCGATTTCGGCATGTGTTTTCAAATTTCCTGACATCACGCCTTGTCAGTTAAACAACCTAACATCACGCCTGGCACACACACTTTTTCAGGGCAAGGGAACCATCACCAGCTAGCTTTCTCTCTCCAACATTGATGTATAAAAGGCAAATCAGCGATCAAATTCTTTTACCACTTCTGATGATTTCTAAAATTCTCAGGCGAAAGAAAACCCTTTTCACTCACTAATGTTCATCGTCTTCTCCCTCGATTTCAATGGCTACATCATCAGAAACTCCATCAGGTGTATTTATACTACAACATCAGGGCTTCTTCGCATCAAGGATAACCAAAATCTGATCTTGGACCTTGATCCGTCAAATTAAGATGCATCTCTCCAACCTCTGATTGAATGCCTAAGACATTCACCATTAGTTGTTTCTCTATCATAGTCATAACACATTCCTCTTGTTCATTTGTTCAAAGCATTCTCGACTGCTCGTTATGAAGAGAGTAGTGCCACTATCACTTTCAATCCTGGTAATCAACAAACATCCATCACCAAGTCTTGATTTATTCGCTTATTGGGACTTTCATCAGCCAGGAAGTTGATTGATCCTGAATCCATCTCCTCTTCTACCATTATGGAGATGTTCTACAAAATGGGCTATCATTACTAGAAAAAATGCCTTTTACGACGCGCAAAATACGACGCTCATTGATCTATGTTACGCAAAGGAGAGTGACATTAGAAAAATGTCATCTCTTCAAAAAATTTAAGGATAGAAGACACGCATTATTGCGCTCCCTTAAATTAGTGTCTAAAAAAAAACACGGAGGGCACCTATAATAAATTGCGCGTCGTCTAAGGATGTCGCTTTATAATTTTTAATGGAACGCGCGTTCCATCCTTTAACAGTAGCGGGAAATGAAATTCTGAAAAAATTAAAAATCCCTCCTTCCTTTTTTTTCTCCTTTCCCTCTTGCCCAAATTATGGTCGCTCCTTCCTTCCCCCTCCCGACATTGACTGCTGCCTACTTCTTCCCTAACAAAAGCATAAACAATATAAAAAAGTCCTCTTGCCCCATTACCATCTATCTTCCAAATTACTACACTAACCTCACCATCTTTGTTCTTTACTGTTCAGAGCCAAAACCCTTTCACCACCACCGCCCTATACGAAGCCTCCAGAAACGCAACCCCGACTCCGTTATCGTCTACTTCTTCCCAACGCCCATTCATAAGTCCTAAATACATTCCACCGCTTACTGCTTCGTCTTCTACCTCAATCAAATTGAGAGCCACCGGTGTCATAGAAAGAGAATCCTTCACCGTCAGTGTTATCAAAATCAGAGCCGCCGGTGTTGTAGAAAGAGAATTCACCACCGCCAGGTCGTCACCTCTAAAGGTTTCTGGTTCGTCTCCATCGCCAATTCGGAATCGTGTTCTTAGGTCACTCGAAAAGTACTCATGGTCGGTGAAATCAAAATGTGAAATCATGTTCTTAGGTCACTGGAAAAGCACTTATGGTCGATAAAATCATCAATTACGTTATGTCGCTACAAGGTCAACTTGAGGTAAGTCAATAATTTCTAATTCTTGTAAATAAATCCACCGATTACAGTGGTTTTGATTTACGATACCACTGTTTCTTTCACCAGCAATTTCAGTTTCAAGCACCATCCCAGCTAATTCTTGGGACTCATTTTTTGTCTGCTGACCCTCCTCCACTTTTTCTTGATCAGAGGCAGAGGCCTTCTCAGGAGTTGGACGCCTCAAATGAGAAACCAACATAATTCATAGGGCTCTCAAGACTGCAAATTTGCTCATCGACACTCAATGTAAAAACTATAAAGGCATTAATTACACTTTGACTTATTAGCTTCTTAACTGTTTCTCTGTTTTTTTAAATTTAATTTAACATTTTAATTTTAGGTTGTAAAGGTGGCGGATTTTGGGGTTGCCCGGTTTTGAGTCAAGGGGGAGTATGACAGCAGAGACTGGAACTTACAGATGGATGGCTCCTGAGGTTTCTATTTCTTCCTCTTTACATATAATATTTGAAGATATTTCCTTTTTCACTGATAAACCCTAACTAATTTGGGAATCATCCTCTAAACTCTAAATTTACCATGATGAATGGAGCTACTTATGTATTGTCGTGGTTTGCAGGTTATAAATCATCAACAATATGATGAAAAGGCGACATCGAAGTGGAAGCAAGATCAGAAAGACCTGGGAGTGAAAGGGACAGGGAAAAGGGTCGTGATAGAGAGGTTAAAGATAAATAAAGAGAAAAAGAAAAATAAAGGGAATCTGAAGGAATTGGAATCTTGAATTCCATTTTTGTAGTTTCTTCTAGTGGAAACATAGATTATGAATATTGAACATAAGTTTTGGTTCGTGGATTCTGTGGGAATCTGAAGGAATTGGAATCTTGAATTCCATTTTGTTTTTTTGGTTGCTAAACTAAGGATTGTGATTGATTTCCTTCCCATTTTCTGCCAACCAAACAATTAACAGATTGCAATTCTTTCAGATTCCAATTGCTTTGACATATTCCATTCCTTCCAAATAGATTATGTGAATCAAATGGGCCTTTGTTTTCTTTGCAATATCAACACCATAGATCCCAAACACTATTATTTCTTCATTCTTATAACTAGAATAGGTGTTGTGGCTAAACCTTGTGCTGAGTTTGTTGCTGGAGTACTTGCAATATGGTTAAATGCAGGTGTAGCTGTTCCACTTGCACTCAGTTACCCTGAAGCTGAGTTGTTACATGTCATGACTGACTCGGTTTGCTCTCAAAACAACCTTAAACTTTTCTAGTTTCCTATGTTTTTTATTTGGAAGAAATTGCTTTGTATTTGGATGATATTGCTAAAATTTCTTTAATAGGAAGAAATGAAATTCAATAAAATGACTCTTTTCTCCTTATTCAATTAACATACCCTTTTTTTAATGTAGTTTATGTGGCCTTTGTAAGATACAATTTTATTCTCCTAATAATACAACATTGTTAATTTGAGTTTTGAAGGATGTGTCCATGATTTTGAGTACTGATGATCACAGGGAGCTTATGCAAAAAGTTGCAGCTAAAACTACAGCTCAATTTTCTCTAATACCAAATGTTCCTACTATGACTTCACAAGCAGTAGATAATGGTGTTGTACATCAAAAAGAGAATGTATTTGCAAATAACATAAAAGGTATATATCCATGTTCTTTATATATATATATATATATATATATATATATATATATATATATATATATATATATATATATATTTCATATACAATAATAATATAAAATTGTCTTATTCATACAGACGATGATCCAACATTGATTTTGTATACTAGTGGAACAACTGGGAAACCTAAAGGAGTTGTTCATACACACAGTAGCATTTTAGCACAGGTAATTTAAAGTTTTGGAAGAAAATACTTTAAAAACCAAACTTGTGAAATATTCGTATATTTTTTAAGAAAAAACGTATCTGTGATCTTCTAATTGCTGTTTTCCTGCATAATTTGAGGTGAAAACATTATCAATAGCTTGGGAATACACATCCAGTGATCGTTTTCTACATTGTCTTCCATTACACCATATCCTTAAATAAACATTAAAATAATTACTTTCAATTCCTTTTTTTTTCTAAAAATGTTTCACATTTCTTGTTGATTCTTAATTTAATCTGTACATGTTCATGGCCTCCTCAATGCACTATTTGCTCCTCTTTATGCGGGGTCCATGGTAAGCAATTACTTTTATGTTATTTGGAATTAAGTAAAATTCTTTATCATCACCAATTGTAAGTTTATATATATTTTTTATGTTGTTTTAGGTTGAATTTATGTCAAAGTTTAGTGTGATTGGTATTTGGAAAAGATGGCGTGAATCTTACCCAAAAGATGTCTTTAGTGGTCGTGGCCAAGAGCATCAAGCAGATTCATCTAAGGATCTGTCTTCTAAAATAAGGTTAGCACACTTTTCATCAGTAATGCCCTTTTTGTTGGTGAAATTACCCATCTGCACTTTTGGATCAGCTTGGAACACGCGTCCACCGCTTGTCTCAGTTACGTGATTCTCAACTGTGGAATTTAGTTTTTTCATTAAACTCTTATTGTATATTGGCTGTAAATTAGCTGTAAAGTTAATGCTTATCTTTTCTTGTTATGTATTTTCCTTGTTTAGTGAGGTAGGCTCTAGTATAAATTTAGGCTCTCTCTTGTATCATTCATCCCAAGAAACACATTCACCATTTCCTTCTCTCCCCAATGGTGGATCTGTTTGAACATATTTTTTTTAATGCTATTAAAGTTAAATTGTAGGGATAAATGCAAATCACAACAATGTAATGGTTTGGTTGGTTTTCTTTTCTGATTTGGTGCCAGGTGAATCTAATGAATCAAGATCTGCCTTGAAGGTAGGAGTTGTGTTGTCAGGAGGACAAGCACCAGGAGGGCATAATGTTATATATCTGGGATTTTTGGTTAGGATTTTGAACTTCCATTTCCTATTGTTCATATTTTTCATACTTCATATGATAGATTGAAGGATTGACTAGTAAACATCAGCAATATTGGTGCCAGGTGAATCTAATTAGTAAAGAAAGTTGAAGGATTGACTAGTAAACATAAAAGTAGAATGAAAATGACAAGTGATTTTGTGTTGTGTTTACAGGGTTGATGAAAGCGAACAGCTGTCGAGTTAGAAGTGGAAAAGAAAGCTCAAGCCGAAAGAGATAAGATGCTGAAAATGCAAGTGTTGTATTGTTCATTTCAATTGTTAGTATGAAACATAGAATAGATTAGATGAATGCAAATTTATATATTGTAAGAAATAGAATTGTATGACATTAAAGTTTATGCAATGGATTGTATTTTTTTTTGTATATGGTATTTTATTTCTATTATGACACATTAAATGCAAATTTAATTTAAGAATTAATAAATATATAAATATATATTTTTTTAAATATTTAAATTTACGATACGCAAAAATGTGTGTCATCTTCATTTATGACATGGCCTTTCTTGACAGGGGCTTTCTTGATGCGCATTGCGTGTCATTAACACGCGCGTCGTAAGGTTACGACACGTGAATGCGTGTCGTCTTCCTTTATGACAGGGCCTTCCTTGATACGCATTGCGTGTCGTAAACGCGCGTCATAATTGCGCGTCTTTAATGAGCGTCGTAAATGCGCGTCGTCTCTCTTTATGACAGGGCCTTCCTTGACGCGCATTTGCGCGTCGTCTGAGCCTTTTACGACGCGCAATGAGCGTCGTAAAAGGCTGTTTTTCTAGTAGTGTATAATGATCATTTTGCAATTCTACCAAAGTTCAAAAAGCCCAATCTGCCTCCCATGTGGAATGGACTGTTTACCTTAGTTTTCAAGAGTTTCTCAGAGAGGGTAACAGGTTCTGATAGCACAAGTAAGATTTTTCTTACTATTATTTATGGCATCTACTAAGGGATCAATCTGGATTACAAATTGATTCTTTGGACTCAATTAGTTCACAGTACTTTATCTGTTACAAGGCATACAGATATCTCATGTGCTCGTTTTTGGGCCATTATTGTTCAAAGGGCGATCGAACGCCACAACATTCTAGTTATTCAGGGTTCAGTAGTTGCAACAATTCCAATTTTTAACAGATCTAAATTTATAGTGTCTGATAGTTCTCAATTTACTTTCATTGGATCCATTCCAGAAACGATGCTTAGAAATGTCCTTGCAGAAAGTGAAGTAATCGCAGTATATCTCAAACAACCAGCATCCGAGCCTCATCCTTTAACTGATGAGATGAGAAAGGTTTTAAATGAGGCTAACAAGCCAAAGAAAAGGGGGAAACAAAAATTGAAGGGCAGTCCCTCTGACCCCGCTCAAACATAAAAGAAGAAAAAAATGAGCAACTCGTAAGCCACGAACACCTTCACTTAGTGATGAGGAGGATTCGGAGTCCCACAGCATCTCCGATGTTCATATCCCTGAGGAAGTGAAACAAGAGACTGACGACACCGCTACAAATTTGCATCCTATGGTTTTGGAGATAACAACAACGAATCCTGGGGTAACCTTTTCTATGCCAACTTTTGTTCCTGTAACAGATAATTTTTTCTAGGATTTTACTCCACTTTCTCTTACTGGTACAACAACACCTATCATGATTGCTCCATGCTGGAACATTTTATAGGTGTTTTGAAACCTCAAGCGTCAGTTCAATTATCTATAGCTGTCTTCACAAACTCAGTAGCAACAATAACAACAACCACAAGTTCACCACCAGTCACTACCAACGTATCTGATACATGGGCAAGGGTAGGGGTGCAAACGAGCCAAGCTACTCGCGAGCTACTTGGGATCGGATCGTTAAAAACTCGACTCGAAATCGGTTTTAAACGAGCCCAAGCCGAGCTCGATCTTAAAATTAAGCTCGTTTATTAAACGAGCTCGAGCTCGAGCCTATGTCATTAAGCTTGATTAGGCTCGCGAGCCTAAACGAGCCTTTACATAATATAATTCATTATTATTTATATATATTAAAATAAAAATATATTAGAGGAATTATGGATTTAGGGTATTAGTAAACGAGCTTCTTAACGAGCTCGAGCCGAGCTTAAGCTTATTTAGGCACGTCAGATAAAAAACGAGTCGAGCCCGAGCCCGAGCCGAGCTTCGATAATTCGTTACGAGCTCGATCCGAGCTCAGTACAAGAAAGCTCGAATCGAGCCTCATATAACTTAAACGAGCCCGAGCCGAGCCTGGCCAGGCTCGGGCTCGGCTCGTCTCGTTTGCACCCCTAGGCAAGGGCTTCTGTTTTCTCTTTTGGAACTGAGTTCACTCCCATCTCACCTCTTCATCAAGGTGATCCAAATATAGTGTTTAGTGATGATCCGGATACTTTTGAATACTTTCACAACATTCCGTTTAATGTCCAACAAGAAAGTGACAAAGATGAGGCTCCAATGAAACTAACACAGTTCAAGGCACTAAATACCAAGATGGATTCTTTACTTGAGTCCACTAAAGCCTCATCTAGTAATGAATATTCCTAGGCTTTTGTCAAATCATTCCAAGAAACATTTACTAAGGAGGATGCTACAAATCCCTCCCTCACAAACAAATCAAATACTGATTTTGAAAAGACTTGTAAGGAAACAAACAAAAAGTTGATAAACTAATTTATGATATTAAAAACTTAATGTAGGACTTTCACACTTCATCAGAATGCAACACAGCCTTTGCAAACATAGCCATCAACAACCATCTTTCTACTCTACAAACTGAAAATGCGGCTCTTACGAAGGTTCACACTGAGATCCAAACTAACAATTCTGAATTCCAAACATCCATCTCCTCCAAAATTGAAAAACTTTAGGATGATTTGGCTCTTAAGAACAAGATAATGGATGAGCTCACTGTTAAAACTGAGAAGGTGAAGGTTTTCTCAGTAAATTTATCGCATGTGAATTCCCAGATTGCCAAACTGAAAGCCGAAGAAGCTATTATTAAATGTCGTGTTGCTGATGTTAACACCGATTTGCAAAGTTTAATCGAGACTTGTAATTCTCTACTCACAGTCTCTGTTTGTTAGCATTTGGCACAAAAATTGAAGCCTATCTTTTCCATGCTACATAAAATTCAAGGTGTTTCAGAATCTTCTATTCCAAAATAAGGGGGAGAACTGGCAAGAACTGCTGGTAATGGTAAAGGAAATGAAGGTGAAGATGATCATGAACAAAAACCCAAATCTAATGATATGGAGGGTAATGAAGCGTTGGCATCAAGAGGGAAGGAAAATATTGTTGATGATGATGAGGAAGAAGAAGGAAATAGAAATGACAAGTTAAAGCGTAAAGTTCACGCTGCTGAACTTGATGAAAAATTACGAGTCGCTAAAGAGGCAGAAGAATGAGAGAAGGAAGCACGTGAAGTTGAGGAAACCTTGAAAACCTAGAGAACTCTTTTCCCTATGTGGTCATTGGAATGAATCCTGAATGAAGTTGTTGATAATCCAAATGTATATTGGTTAGAGCCTGTTGCGTCTTTTGAAGTGGAGAACTCTCCAGATCTGCAACTTGATCTGGCAATCATCCCGAAGGCATTTCTACTCTATAGTTTTGATAAAATTGTGAGTGTTCCTCTCACTAAAAAAGGTGCTAATCAGGTGCTATTCTTGTTATATCTAAAGAATATGAAACCTCAATACAAGACTGGGATCTCGAAGAAGATCACTGTTGTCAAGGTGTTCGGACCAGTTGAAAATAAGAGCTTCATCAATGCTCGTTTCAAGGTTTCTTATGGGTCTGCGAGATCAATTTTAGAATTTAATCTCGGTTATTTTACCTGCCTAAACCCATTTGATTAGATTTCTCTATTGCATCAACTTCTGAAAGATAAACAAAAATTTGAGCCTATTATTGCACATATGAAACAAATATTGGTCTTATACATCCATGAGGTTAGCAAGGTGGACGTCGAAATTGCATATGTACTTCACAAGAAACCTACAGTACTTCCCAAGGAACCTTCGAAGGATCTTGAAAAGATGAAACTGGGAAGAATACGAAAGGATGATCGGAGTATGGCTTTTCAACTATGAGAATGACTAGTTACGAATTTTCACAAAGTTTGTTTCTTTCTACCCGACAGGCATCTATACTCCACTTCGTACTTTGAGTATATTTTGGATTTTATTAGTCAAAATATAGCAAGCAGTGCTGGGGACAAGAAGTGCCTCTCTCACATGATCAACTGGTACGTCCTGGTTCATAAAACTTAGTTGGGTATAATGCCAAATCTTTTAAAAGTTCAAAAGTGACAACAGAGCTAAATAATCTTCCTTCCTTATTTGACACAAAGGGGAGATCAGTGGGTTATTAAATTGATTGTGTCAAATTTTATTATGAATTTAGTTAGCATTTTACGAAATGGGTTTGTCCATCCGTTTTGATGTACCTAGGGTTTAACTTTAAATGCTACATGCATATGTAATATTAGGGTTAATCGTCGTATGATTCTTTAACGTTTCTTTATAGTAGAATTTCTTCATCAAGGTTTCCTAAGGTACTTGTTATTAATCATTCGAAACCATTTTGATCATTGCATCATTGTTTGATTTACTTTTCTGTTTAGAATCTTTCTTTATTCTAAAACCCAACTTCGATGATCCTGTTGGTAGTTATCCAAAGGAGTCCACTTGCTTTCATTGTGGCAACAAAGGGCATTAGAGAATAAGCTACCCAAAGTACCTTTAAGAGTTGGGTCCTTGATATGGATGTGGTTTCACATTTGCTCAAATTTGATGGGTCTAAGAGAAAGTGAGGAAGTGGAGCATGGGAAGTTCAACCTGGTCATAGGGAATGGGTGTTCTTCACCTGTTACTATGAGTTCGACGTATGGGCTTGTGTTTGATAGTGGTGTTAGGATAGATTTAATTAATTGTTGTTATTTGTCAGAAATTACAAGAAACATTATTTCATTTCATGCATTTTTCAGACAAGGTTTTTAATATTCATTTAATAATGATGATGGTCCAGTTTTGGTTTATAGAAATGGTGTTTTTATATTCAAAGATTTACCTTGTATAGTATGTATGAAACAATGACATGTGTTGATAACTTAAACAATATTGTATTTCATATTAATTTGTCTGATGGTGTAGAGAAAGCATTCTTATGGCATTATCGTCTTGGGCACATTAATAAGAAACACATATCGTAACTCTAAAAGGATGGAGTGTTGGAATCTTTTGACTTAAGATCCGATGATGAATGTGAGTTTTGTATTTTGGGCAAGATGAAAAAATCACCTTTTGTTGGAACATGTGAAAGAGGTGAGCGATTGTTGGACCTTATCGATACTGATATATGTAGGCCCTTTAGATTTTCCGCAAGGGATGCAAATCAATAACACGTGACGTTTACAAATGATTATAGCAGATATGAGTATATCTACTTAATCAAATATAAATTAGAAGCTTTTGAAAGGTTCAAATAGTTTAAGCACAAGGTCAAGAATCAATTGGGTAGAAAGATAAAGATGCCTCGATCTGATAGTGGTGGAGAGTATCTTAGTATAGAATTCCATGAATATCTCAAGGAATGTGGAATTGTTTCATAATTGACTCCTCCCAAAACGCCACAACTTAATGGTGTAGTTAAGAGGCGCAATTGAAGCCTACTTGATATGGTTTGTTCCATGATTAGTTAATCTTCTCTTCCAATATCTTTTTGGGGGTATGTCTTAGAAATAGTTGCTCATATCCTAAATATTGTTCCCACTAAGATGGTTGCCAAAACACCTCATGAGATGTGGACAGGGAAAGTACCATCGCTCGCACATATTAACATCTGCTGTTGTGAAGCTCTCGTAAGACAAGAGACTAATGAAAAACTTAAGCCCAGAGCCGAGAAGTGTATTTTCATTGGCTACCCATAAAAGTCCTTTGGATAGTTGTTCTACAGAAGAAGTGACATCATGGTCTTTGTAGCTTGAAGAGGAGTCTTGCGCAAGAGAGAACTCAGATTTAAAGATGACAGTGGGAGTTCTATTGAGCTAGAAGAAATTTTAAAGTCATCCACTAAAGGAACCATAATGAAACTAGCTCTCAACTGTAGGATAAGACTTATTTTGAGCCCTTTGACAATTCCTACCTCTTCCTCTATCAAATAGAGTTAGAATGACACTTGATTTTTATTGTTTCCATATTAATTTGGATGGATACATGTTTATCAATGATAGAACACTAGAAAATTTTGAAGAACCTAATAATTACAAGGAAGTAATGGTAGGCTCTAAGGCTGCAAATTGGAAAAAGGTAATGGATAACCAAGTCTGGAACTTTGTTGATCAAGAACTTGGTCGAAAGACGGTGGGTTGTAAGTGGATCTTCAAGAACAAGATTGATATGGATTGAAATATACATACGTTCATGGCACGAATGGTTGCAAATGGATTACTCAGACCTTACGGGTTCACTATGATTAGACCTTCACACCAGTAGCTAAGATCAAGTCAATTTGGATTATGCTTGCCATAGCTACCTTTTATGATTATGATGTATGGAAAACAGATGTTAAAACCACTTTTCTAGATGGGAAATTAACTGAGGATGTTTACAAGTGTCAGCCAGAAGGTTTTTAGTATGCGAAATTTTCTAGTATTGTATGTTGATGACATACTCCTTATAGGAAATGATATTGCAACTTTTCAAGAAGTGAAATCTTGGCTTCGGAAGTGTATGAAGGATATAGGATAAGCTACTTACATTCTTGGAAATTTCGGCTATAGGATCGATCATTTGTGTTATGAAATATACTCATCTGGATGTGTATTATGCTTTGAGCATGGTTGGTCGATTTTAGGACAATCCTGGTAGAGCCCATTAAACTACAATAAAAGAATATTCTTAAGTGTTTATAGTGATGCCAACTTTCAGACAGACAAAATATAGGCTTCTAGTTCTTGGTGACAATGATACGTGAAGAGTGAGTGTTTATAGTGATTCCAACTTTCAAACAGACAAAGAAAACATTTGTTCTCAATCTGGATGGGTATTCTTGTTGAATGTTGGAGCGGTAACTTGGAAAAGTTTCAAGCGGAAGACGGTGGATGATTCTACTTCTAAATCATAGTACATTGCATCGAGTGAGGCATCAAAGGAAGCAGCCTGGTTGAACAATTTCATCGGAGATCTCAGCATCATCCCGACCATCAATGAAACAATGGAACTCTTTTTTCATAATGAAGACATGGTTATTATAACTAAAGCACCAAAACATTATGGAAGATCCAAACACATTGATTGAAAATAACAATACGTCAGACATAGGGTTGAAGATGGAAATCTCTTGGTTAAACGAGTATAATCAAATGATACTCTTGTAGATACTTTTACAAAGGCTCTGAGCAGTGCCAAGCACAACCAACATTCTAAGATCATTGGATTAAGAGACTATATTAGTTCTAGTAGTTAGTTGATAGATTAAAACTTTGTAACCAAATAAAGTGTTCTAACAAATGGCACATCTGAGCAGGTCCAAGCATAACCTCTATCACTCCTAATCCTAAAAACCATTTCCCTAAACGAAAAAGAAGAAAGGAAAAAAAAAATAGAATTTGTAACTTACTATCCTCTTATATCCCTCTTGGTGACTCTTCGTGACTTTTGGCTCATTTTGGATTGAAGAAGAAGAAGACCAAAGTGTTTCAGTGTCTTAATCCAGCAAGCAAGCCTCATAATCTTTCTCTTATGCATTCTCTAGACCTTTGTAAGTGTTCAGGATCCTACCTTTTTGGAGTAATGCTTCTAGATCTAGATTTTTTGTCCCTATTCTTCATGATTGTGAATGTTTGAAGGATTGGATTCCATAAGTTGGCAACTTTATGGGTTTATCAGGTCTCTTTGAGGTCATATGTCGTAGATGTAGAGTATCTTCAAGTATTTGGTCGTATGCAAAAGTTTAAGTTCATTTCTCCCATGTTTTGGCCTAAACATGGAGGAGACATGGATTGAACATATTGTTGGATTAGGTGTCTAAGACGATAACAATAATTGGTATAAACTTGAATTGATGGTAGCAAAATCCTTTTAGGTTGTCCTTAAACCTAGCAATTGTACAAGATATTTTGTAGAGAGGGGTTGATAAATTAGAATTGATAATTTATTAATATATTATGAAAATAATATATTAATTATAAATAGTAATATTTAATTAGAAACATTTTGGAATTAATTTTGTGATAAAAAATTAAATAAAAGTGGAGGGACTAAAGAGTAATTGTTCAATAAGTGAGCAAGAGGCATTGTAGATCCTACTTAGAGCCTTGGACGATTTTAGGAGACCTTCGGGTTTCTAGAATTATTCTTGGAGGATAATCAGGAAGTTGGATAACTACCAAACCAATATAATAATATTATATTCGTTTTAGGGTTATTTAGGGTTTCATTGTTGCACTATATAAACACCCCTAGGACTTCATATATCGGCCACTGATACCCTAGAGAGCTAGGACGAAATTTTGATATTCTCCCTATCTCCCTTCTATATCATTCTTGCTTGTGTTGGGTGTGAACCACTAGATGCATGTGGTGTTTGCTTCCAAAAGATCAACCAAAGGGATTATTGGTTGTTTACTTCAACAATCAACAAGGTATGTACTCTTACTAATGAATTCAAATTTTATTAAGGAATTTTTTGTAGTTCGATAGTTCATAGTATGTTGCCTTTATGTGAAAGACATAGACCCTTCTTAGGATGCAAGTGCCCTAATAATTTAATTTTTAAAATGTTTTTCCGCTTATTGCATTGTTTTTGAAACCTCCACAACCCATTAATGGTATCAGAGCCTATGACTATCTTTATTGTGACTGCACCTTGATGAATTGATCAAAACTAATTTTTTTGAATTAATCGCATCTCACGATGTGAGCATTGATGCTCATGATGTGAGATCTGATCTAATCAAACTTTTTGAGATTATCTCCCTAATCTATTTTCTTTGATAATTATCTACCTTGAATATCTTCCAAATCTGATTTTACTAAATATTGGTTGATAATTACAAGCCTTAAAATTAGGATCTAAATCTTTTACTTGA